AATCTTTCAGCTGTACAGCTCATCGATGACAATCTGAAAAGGCAGAGAACAGGACAATACAGGGACTGAGCCCAGTAGAGAGAAAGGGGTAAACTATTGCTGCCTTGCAGGTGGCAGAATTCCGCAGCTACAATCCAACACACTCAGAGCTTTGCCCTCTACTCAGAAATAACTTCCAACCAAAGTCAACAAAATCAGGTGTTGCCAGGGCTGGTAAAGACGCAGCCACTCATCTACTTCAGGGAAAGCAGGGATATGAAAGCAGCAGGTGAGATACAAACATGCTTAACTTGCTCCAGACAGTTCAGGAATCCTCTGCAGTATAGAAGAAGTGTGCTGATGTAAAAAGACTGGCCAGCAGCAACAGCAGCTCTGGGCGGTGTCTTGGAGGAGGCTCCTTCCCTCTATTGCTATCATCATGAGATCTCACAGATCTCATGCAAGTCAGAAACTGACCAGCCCAGAGCTTAGGCCTTCTTCTAAGCCATTCTCTCCAGTGGTGATCGCCTGGATGTATGTGACATGTCCAATACCTTTGGTAACTCCTTCACGGAACAGGAGCTTGGCTCCTATCTTCAAATACTCAGGATGTTTAATGAATCTGAAACGAACCACAGCCTTTTCTCCTGTCCGCAGCTTGTCCTGAATGAGAGGAGATGGTATGATTATAGGATAATAGCCAGCCTAGCTATTTAGCTTTGGGATTCTAGAAACCAGGAAGAAAAAGAAAGGTGGCCCACTGAGGATGTTTCAGTCCCAAGGTGCTGGAGAAACTGAAGGCATCTAAAGTGGAAGGCCTCGATGCAACTGACGGTTGCTGAAATGATGAGAGGGATAAGATGCTCAGTGAATTCCTGAGCAGATAGGAAGGCCTCCCTCTTCTCAGACCTACCTTTCCCTGGATCTTTTCCACGACTGCTGTCTGCCGCACATTGCCAACGTGCACTGTTACTTGGAATCCCTTCCGGAAAGTCGTGGCATGGAAGAGCAGAACAATTTCAGCTTCAAACACTGAGCAAATGGTGGGGTTCATCTCTGGGCTTACCATCACCATTCCCTAAGTGACAGTAAGACTGTTAGGCCACTCGTCTTGACAGCAGCACCCTTCCCATCCCATCCCATCCCAT